TATATATTCCAGTTTTTTCAGTCAAATGTATTTCGTCTTTCGTAGTACCTAAGATTGCGAGTCGAGCACCCTAACCACCAGTCCCTGCCAGGCCCTTGTTCTTTTGACTAAGCTATTACAGCTTCAAGCAAAGTAGTTCAAATGAGACCTAATTCAAACAAGAAGCTTTAGTTGTATACTTACTTTTGTAATGTAGCTATCCTGGCCATACCCTTCAAGTTGCTGTGCTTCAAGGATATAGTAGATTTCTGCCAAAGATGGCAACAACCCTTGTAAACTTCGATGTGCCTGAATTACTGGCTCCATTAAAGCACCTTGGATATTCCTATCTGGAATCATGTGCTGAAAGAAAAGGGGGAGGTGAAAGAGTCAACTGATTGAATTTTCAACTTCTCGTGTATTTATCTTATGTGTACACTGTAAGGTAAAGAAAAAATGATTCACATATTATGCTATTCTTGAAATGTGTAGTGTAATAAGAAAAAAAAGAACAGTAGTACCACTCTATTATGACTTCAATAATTAAAGTTTGTTGCACATTTGGTTGATGTCAAAAGTACAATATGAGACATAAAAATATTTATAAACTAATTCTCTCATAACCATTTATAAATAAGAAGTAAAATATCAGGTTGTAAGTAACATCTTGAGTCAAAACTAAACTGCAGACTTAACATAAAATGTAAATATCCAGAAATAACAAAAGCTTAAACAAAAGGAAATCTTGATGATAAAAAATGGCAAATATATTTTATTTTAAAAGATTTAGTTTTGACTAATAAGTAATACCCAAGAAAGGTTAATATAATGGTGGTTACAAAAAAAAAACACCAATAATGATGATACCTGTATAATCTTCCATAAGAAAAACCTAGAAGTATCTATTTGGATGTCTAAATTTTATTCTCTTTCATATTTGTGTTCATATTTCAATCCTTTTCGTCCTACTACTGATATAGCTCACACACTGCAAGATTGTCCAAGTCTCTAACAATTTTAAACATCAGAATCAAGTGATCTGTTTTTCTGTTTTAAAGAAAACAAGTCCATGTCTCCAAACTATCTTTATTTCTTAAACCATGTACCATTCGAGTGGCCTGTTTCAATCATCATTTTAACATGGTAATATACCACTTGCAGTCAAGGGACTACAACTGTACACTTGAGGGCTCACCAAAACCTTTTACAAGATAGTGAAAATATTCTTGCTCTTAAATTCAAATATCCTATGATACATGTGTTGAATATGTTACATTAAAATGCATTTTGGAGCCTCACTACATCACCAAATCTGGTCATGTTCCAACTGATGACCATACATCTTAAAAATAGCTCTACAGCATAGATACCATTGCAAAAGATTGCCATGCCCAAAGCACAGCACTTCTCCTTGCATGAGTTTTACAATTCATCTAGTGCATGGTTCTCCAAGCTATGGCCCGGGGGCCGCATCTGGCCAACCAACAGTTTATTAAAGTAATAATATAATATTTTAATATTATAAAAATAAAACATAATTGAGCAAAAGTCAATCTAGGTGTGATACACTTTTCTATTTGCTGGAAAACTTCACATTACTTAGTATTGTGTCATCTCACTTATCGATCCCAGTGCCCTGCAGCAGCGTGTTTCTTCCCACGCCTGCCACCTTGTACCTCAGTGTGTGTACTTAATTTTACCATGGCCCTCCGGACCACGAAGCCTAAAAAGATCTACCTCCCGACCCTTGTCCAAAAACGTTTGGAGACTCTTGATCTAGTGTATGAAGATGACAGTTTCTGATGCCCACTTCAACAGTATGATTGTACACAGAAGTCCATACACTATGTCCAGTGACATAACCAGTAAGTCTTCATATGGAATAGCATGAATAGCTGTTTCATTCTTCAGCTGCTACAGGTATGTGACGGTTGAACGGGAGGTATGACTGGAAGCCTTATCTTGGTGAACTCAAGCCATGTTGGCTTTGTTTTCAGATGAAGATCCTTCTTAATTATGTTGCATACTGTTGGCTGAGATTCATGGACAGTTTAACTGCTAAACTTTGTGTTCAAGGATTCTCCCCTGTTACATGATGTTGTATTTTATTTACCACAGCTGGGGATAACTTTTGCATGGTCATGGTGCCACAAGTTCATACATATTCCTTTGTTTTCCAATGCCATTAAACATTAAAAGGAATATCTTTGTCTTTGAAATTCTTCCCAATCCAAATGAATGAATATTTTGTGGTGGGAAGGGCTATTACACACCCTGACCCAAAATAATAAACTTTTGGTGGAATCACAATGCCCATGAAATGCAATCAAGATCAAAATGTAGTTTTTATACACGCCATTCCACTATGGCTATGGTTGTCACAGCTTGCTGATTTACATATTAATCTTCCAAAATTATCTTCTTATTTTCACTATTACTAAAAACTAAGCTGAAAAATAATTATTACACCAAAATTCTTCAGTGAGTCATTTTCAACATATTATACTCCAAGTGTATAATGTGATACTTTTAAACCCTCTCCACACAGGTCATGTCATCATGTTTGTTGACTCGCATTCAAACTTTCATTGAACTACTATTTTATATGTTTATGTCAACAAGTTTGGTATCAAATTGTAGATTATAATTCAAATTTTAGTATTATACATTATTTAATTTCTTAATTTGAAAGTAAATATTATAAAAACACACATAAACATCAATTTTTGTGTGTCACATGGTATGTTGAATGCAGCACTGGTTCAAACTAGATGTTTGTGATGTAAAAATACAAAGTCTATAGTTTCTTATGAATTCAAATTACTGATATTGACAAGCTGGAATATAAAATAAGAACCTCCTATCTTTTCTATTTGCTGAGATATCGCTTATGTACTGAATCAAAAACAGTGGCCTCACCCACTTGTTTGCATGTTTGAAAACACTTCCTCATATACAATTACTTCTGTCTTTGACATGTCAATAACCAATCAAAAGCTCAGAATGTCCCCCTACTGGCTTTCTCAGCCATTTTTAAGTATTATGATGTCAGTTCGTTCTTTTGATATAAGACTTCAAGTTGGTATGTTGAGTCCTTAGTCTGCTCGAAATTTCATTTACCCAAATACAGCTTAGTTACTAAGCTTGATAAATTATAGTGGAATTCTATGGTATTGATATAATAATTTATGATTTTTGTTTATTTCAAATATATATATAAAACCTACAAAAAAATTATTTTGTTTCACATCCTCCATGTGCAAAATTTTATAAGGCTTAGCAATCTACAGCAAGCAGTAAACTAGAAGAGATAATTGTTTGCTAGACTTATTTATTTACTGTTCTATGTTTAAGAAAAATAAGTTTAAGAACTTATTTGCAAATAGTAACAATGTATTATAACTGAAACGTGACTGTATTTTACAAAATACAACTCCACTAAAACTCAGCAAAGACAGGTCACTTTCTAAAGGCCAGTTTTATACTCTTGGATACAGTAACACGAGTGCACATGTGCCTCGTCATTGTATCTTCTGTAATGTTATCCATACACGGATGAAAGGACAATATAATAAAAATAATAAATACATATATAAATGTATAATGTTATGACATCTAAGCTAAATAGACTAAACATTTGTGTTTGAGTTATAATTTGTAGTCATTCTGGAATGAAAAAAATCATAATTTGTATTTATTTCTGAACTTTTTATGGTGGTTACAAGATCAGTCAGATTGCCCAAACCCGTACATAGATTTGATAGTGAAAATAACAGATAAAATATAAAGTTTTTCTTAAAGAAATGTATGATAATCATCTGGAGGTTATAAAGTTTCGCATGTGAAAATTGAAAATTTTCTGATGCACAAAAGTATTTTTAATCTTAAAATGAATATTAGTTTGCATGTTGGATAGGCAACATGCAAAAAGAAAAAAAAGGCATGAGAAAACAGTACTTAAAGAACCTTAAGTCTTAATAAATAAAATTTGATATTTTGTGTATGAAAGCCTTGTAATGTTTACTGATAATCTGCCAAATTTTGTGAACATACGCTTACTAATTTAAAACTTATAGCATAAAACTATAACAAGGACAAAATGGTTACGAGGTCGGTTCCAGTGACCGAGCCTATGCTGAAAGATTTAATATTGAACTAATTTTCCACTTCGAGGCCCAGTTGCAAAGAATATCAGTTTTTTTTATATGAGAGAAATATTTTCAATATAATTAGCTCTTCTTACCATCATCAACAAACTTACAATTATTGGTCTAAAAAAACTATTCAAGAAATTAACATATGCTAATGCATGTGGGATATCATAATTTGAATTATAAGTATAATTAAGATGAGAATTACCTTATCATTGTTATGGAAAAATGGGATCTTGGTGTTATAATTGATCAGTTTCTTAAGCCATCCAAGCAAAATGTTGTTGCTAGTGTCAGAGCAAATATACTTTTAGGTTGTAATTTCATTATACAGGTCATTCATTAAGGAATATTTGGAGTATGATGAGAAAAGTAGGACTAGGGGACACAAATTTAAATTTCTAACAGGGTGATTGGCCTTTTGAATGGATTGCCTTCAGATGTGGTGGATGTAGTTAGCTTACAGGAGTTTAAGGGAAAGTTTGATAAATATTTGAATGATAAAGGCTGGCTTTGAATGTTATATTTTTATTTTTATGAATTGGACTGCCTACATGGATCTTTAAGTTATACGTAACATTCTCACAATAAAAAAAAATGCAAATTTTACGATACTGCTTTCTTTAACTAAGCCAATTTTCTATCCACTTCTTAACTATTCTATAAGCACCATTTGTTTGTAGCACAAAGCTAAACAATGGGCTATCTGTACTCTGCCCACAATGAGTATTGGAACACATTTTTAGCATTATAAGCCTTCAGATTTATAATTGAGCCACTGGGGGCATTTCATAAGTGTTCAGTTCATTAATTAATCTCTTATGAGGCACCTTATCAATATTAGTCACAGTTTTCAATATAATAAAAATAACAGCTAACTTAGAAACGAATGGATGCCAATGCACACTTATTAAACATCCAGTGCTATAAAATAACTAATAATTAAATAAAAAACTACAACTGTTAATACTATGATAAAAAAAAAGTTCTGGCTTACAGAATGCTGAATAGCTTGTACTTTCATTATATAACCTTTAAAAACTACTAGCAAATACTATATAAATAATAAAAGGTAACCTGATAAAAATAAATATCCAACCCCACTGCACACAAGATTTGATATCAATAAAGATTTTTCAATGAATGATAACACATTTAAAGTGAAAGTCTAGCAATACCTTTTAAACTTATTTAATTTGCTTTGTTTGGTGCAAATGGCCGTAACTGTTTATTGCCATAAATCCCCCAACAAAAGTGACTCCCCTGAACAACCCAAAAACTAAATCAACATAATTCAAGAAGACTGATTTGGAGTAAGTAAAATTGTTCTTATAATCATAGACAGGATGAAATATTCAAATTCAAAGTTAATTATGTGTGTTTGTTTTAGGTTAAAGCCACATTTGATTATGTGCCATGTTCACTACAGGGAATCAAACACCAGATTTTTGCAGCATAAATCCACAAACTTACAACTGACTGACTGAGAAAACATGGCCTGGTCTGTAGTAATATGAACTATCTCATGGATGATGACCTGTATTCACAAATACATTAAAACAAGAACTGCTAACGAAAATAAGAATAATGAGGTATATAAAACAAATATACCTTGGGAAGGAGTGCAAAGTTACTGAGATATTCTGGGGTATGCCTTTCAGGATTGTGGTCACTGAACTCAGCTAAAAACAAAAACTTCAAATTAATGAAAATTGAATTTTTTCTACATTAAAAAAATCAATTAGACATATAGAATTATCATACTGTGTAACTTAAAAAAATAAAAGCATTTAAGTGCAAGTAACTCAACTTAATGTTTGAACAATATTCAAAATACAACTGTTGAAAGAGAAATTCTCAATTTTGGGAACCATTCTTAAGTAAAAAAAAATTCAATTTTTTCATAAGAAAGTGAGAGAATTTGTACAAGGTTAATGTGATTTTGTTTAAACTTCATTAACAAGTATTTTAGGTGGATAGGATATTAAGCTTGTATATGAATACACACAGACACACAAGTATATATATACATGTTAAACTACCTTGCAAACTGTAACTGGCCAATAAGATAGCTTGTTCTTGGCTACATGGAAGCTTCCCCTCAATCACATCAGACTTCAGCTGAAGAAAGTATTGGTTTCTGAAAAAGAAAAAAGGAATATTCATGTGTTCTAAATAAATATAATTTATAAATACACATTACAGGAGAAGATTAATCTAGCCCATTACATATACATAATTACACATTACAGGAGAAGATTAATCTAGCCCATTACATATACATAATTACACATTACAGGAGAAGTTTAATCTAGTCAATTATATATACATAATTTATAATTACACATTACAGGAGAAGTTTAATCTAGTCAATTACATATACATAATTACACATTACAGGAGAAGTTTAATCTAGGCCATTACATATACATAATTTATAATTACACATTACAGGAGAAGCTTAATCTAGGCCACTACATATACATAATTACACATTACAGGAGAAGTTTAATCTAGTCAATTACATATACATAATTACACATTACAGGAGAAGTTT